TTAATACAGTAATTTATAATTAAATAATAAAGCATCAATATATTACAATTAAATTCATATATTATTTATTAAAGTAAATATTTTGAATAGCATATTTAAAAAAATGGTTTTATAAAATGAAGATATATTGAATAATAAGTATTTATAATATAAAGGTAGGTGTTTATGTAGAGCACGCAAGGAAATTTGCTTAGCTCGGAAGCTACCAAGTCAAAATCTTGAAGAATGGGAAACTGAGTGGGTGTGGTAGGAATTATTGTTAAGGCTTTGAATGGTGATGACAAGGATGAGTGCATGGATGTAGACGAACACAGGTTAGGTATTATGACATTCAGAATGAATCGGAGGGGATGCTCATATAAGCTAACATACTCGTCAATGGAGATCCATCAACACACCAGGTCCTATCTTCTTCCTAACCCATGCCACTATAGCTAAAACGACGCCGTCATACTTCAATTCAGTGGCGACAACAGCTCCACCATCACCAATTCCTTGTTTTCAGTTACGGCGGGGAAGTTGCGTTCCGGTGTCTTTGTTGTCTCCCGCCGCCTCTTTGTACGCCTCCTCAACCCGTGAAGTTGTCCTAGTCTCTCGTCATATTTATATTACAATTAAAGAAAAATTAAATCTAATTTTTACCGCATATCAATTATATCAAAGTGTTTGTGAATATTTTAACATGTTAAAAAATATTAATCTCAATTTTTTAACATTGAATTTAAGGATTGAATAATAGTAAATTTTTATTAAAAAAACTTATTATAATTTTATATTTTTATATAATAGTCTTTTTCAGTAAAACAATTATGACCTTTAAATGTTTAAATTTAATTTTAAAAATGAAGTTAATAAAGTTTTTTTTTTAAATATTATCATTTAATGTGTACCATGTTAGTTATAATTATAATATAAAAATATATAATTTTAATATATAAAACTATAACAACTTCCTAACTAAAGTATATTTTTTTTGTTTTTAATTTTAATATATTTTTGTTTTTGAAAATTTGTGTAAGAAATGTTAAACAATATATTTTTTATTTATAATATTCCATTACAAATATTTAAAATATAATAAAAATAAAATAATAGGTCTATAAATATTAATAAAAGTAGAAAATATCTTCTATTTACAATATTTCCGATATAAAGTGCATTATATAATAAATAATTTTTTTAGCATGCGTGAAAACGAACATAATAAAAAATCAGTTTGTTAATTCTAGCCTTTAGTATTGAATTTACACAATCAAAAGTATTATTGTTTTTTTATTATTTATAGTATTAGAGGTATAAAAATATAATAATTATTTTTTTAAGTAAAAAATCACTATTTATTAACTGTTCCTGAGTTCTAAAATTAAAATTAACCAAATCCGTAAATAATATTTTAAATTGTAACATTTAATAATTTCAATGCACTTAATTGCATTGAATTATGTAATTTTTTAAATAATTTTTATAATATATGTATATTTATTTTTATTATGCTTTTTTATTTGGGGTAAGTCACTCAAATATTCAAAAGAAATATCTAAGAAAAAGGATATGACATAGTAGTCCCTAAAAACACTCTTTAACGATGAAAACTTATATTTGGTACTCCCTTTATTTCATATGTTTGATATTTAATATTCTACACACAGATTAAGTGAGTTTAATTAGTGATTAATGTTATCAAATGTTTAATAAAATACTCTCACTTATACCTCCAATCACGTAATTTATTCTTCTCTAATTTCTCACAGATAGATAAAGGTACAAGTGAAAAACTAATTTAAAAAGTCTTGAAATTTTATATAACAAAACTTTTGAAATAAAATTAAAAAAATAAAAATAGTAAAACATAATAAATGTAGGGTGAAACATAAATGTAGATATATAATTTTTTTTGTCTTTTTTATAAGATACTTTTAATTAAATGAAACAAATCAATAAAAATAGTTAAATTAGTTGATTTTATTAAATTATTTTAATATAATAATTTTATTCTCATAAAATATTATTAAACTTAACTCTATTATTAACATTATTTATGTTAATTTTAATTTAAGTTTTTACTAACTCTTTTTTATAAGTTTTTATTCTCATAGATCACTAAAATATTCTAGAGAGCGACTTATAAAAAGAACCAAAAAAAAAAAAAGTATACTGGTTAGTAACTACAACTCATACTGTGATAAGTTATAAAATTATATATTACTTTGTTCCGATTTATTTAGAAAGAGAAGAATCTGTACATACAACAGAATTGAACCATTTTATTCTAATTTATTACTTTTTTTTAATTTCTTTTATTGATGGGTTTGTTATTTACTATTGAATTACAAAATTAGTATAAATATTTATATGGAGAAAAGAGTATTAGGTAAAGAATAACAAATATTATCTTAATTTTTTATAAAAAAAATATATAGATATTATTTCTTTCTAAACAAAAAAATAAAAATAATATAACTTTAATTTTTACATGAAGAAAGTGTTGGAATAATGAGACAATCGTGAATAGTAGCTTATATTGTTATAAAATTAAAACGTTACACTAGCAAGAGAGCTGATAATTTTATCTCATAAATACGTTAATTTACCAAATTTTGTACCGTATTTACATATATTGAATTTTAAGTTTAATCCTATTATCTTATAATGCATATTGGAATATTATGAAAAGAGTTGAATCTCTCCAATTCATAGTTATACAGAATATTAGAGATAATTTTTTATACATTTTAAATGTAAAATTTTTTATATTATCTCGTATGAGAATAGATTGCAGATCAATCTAACCTTTCAAAGTAATTATTGTATAAGCCAGTGATCTTCATTGTAATCTATAATTGAATAATATTATGAAAAAAATTATACTGTCAGTGTATTTTAATTAAGTTCATTATATTATATAATTACATTGTAATTATTTAAAGTTTATCATATTAATTATAAAACAAAATCACATCCTATGTATATTAACATATTTGGGTTATTCTTTTTTTTCTAACAGAATAAAAGTTTAGAGTAATTTAACCCACTATTGCCAGAGCAGTGTTGAATAATTTCACACACAAGTGTTCACTAATATTACATGAGACTGCATCTTACTAATAAGGAAATGGAGAGCAAAAACTTGCATCATTGTTGTGTCCCTTTCATCGTGATTTAAGCAGAAAATTAGTGTTTGGGTGGGGGTACATTAATATTTCTAAATATTCATCTTGTGTAGCCCCGAGAAACACGTTATCAAGCTTTTCCATCTGTATTCTGCATCATGTATTTGGGCATAATGGCATTATGAACGAACGCACTCTCGCTGCTGTTGCTGGTGTTTTCTATATTAGATGTATTAGCACTTCACTTGCTCGGAAGATGCTACGAGATTGTACCTCACATATATTCTGATTTGTGACCCCTTCAGGATTGGTCCGTTGACTAAATTAAAGCACACCAAGAAAGAGATAGAGATCAAAACTATTGCTTCTTGGTAAGTATCTTATGAGTCTCCTTCAGTTGATATAATAGTTGCTAGGATTATTGAGAGATATAGTCATGCTTGTAAAAAATTCATTATTAGTATTTTTTTTTTATCTAAGTTATAATAACTAAAACTTGTTTTATGATGCATCGATTATTAATTTTTTTTATATATATTTTTAGTTATTTTAAAGTTTGTGTTCAAAAAAACACTCATTTATTTAATATATAAGACTCAAATTTGACCATTCAACAGTGTGAGTATTTTTAAAATAAAGTATAAATTTATAGTATTTACTTTTTATTAAGTATTTGTTTTTTATAAATAAAATCACGGTAGTAATTATTACTAGATTTTCTTACATATGTCCAAAGGCATATATTAAAAGAGAAACGTTCGGAATATCTTTCTAACACATTTTTTATCATCAACTAAAATTGATCAAAAATTATATGGGTCTCATAATTAATTAATAAGTCTAACTTATATTTTTAAAAATTGAATAAATTTTAGTCAATTAATGTGTTAAAAAGCATTAAAATGTAATTAAAAATATACTGCTAACAAAATTATGTAAATTTTCTCTTAATTTAATAAAACGATCCCTCATTTTATAATTTTTAATAAATTTTAACTGACCAGCTAATCCTTCAAAACATTTGATTTTTTTAGTGTTTAAGGTTAAAAAATAACTGTAAGTTACAATCACGACGGAGAAAAGTGTTTAATAAATTACACATATGGCATTATAAATTAATCAACAAGATATTAGAGAATATTTCCGTACGAAAAAAATTGAAAAAATGAGATCAGAAACGTGTTTTTGTATAGATTGGACCCATTCCTGTTTCTAGTCATCAACGTGATTTACCCCTTCATGGATAGACTTCTGAAGGGAATACTTAATTAGCTAGTGGCCATTATAAGATTTTGAACGTCAATACCCATCTTTCACTTCATGGATAACAACTACAAAAACAACGCTTATATTTTAGAAAATGGTTATTTTTATAAGTTTTCTTATAAAACTAATAAAAAATATTATTTCTTTCTAATAAAATAAATAAAGCACACATACAATGTCTAATTAATGCATATTTAAATTCATGTTACTTCAACATTATTAATTATATCTTTTACATTAAATTTTAATTTATCATTTTGTTTATATTGAATCTAAACACACCCGAGTGACACTAGGAGGAAATCATCTGATTTGTCTCGTCTTAATTTCAACCATTTCATCACATATTCCCGTCCGTACAGATTCGTTTAAAGGGAAGAGAGAGAGAGAGCAAAATCAAACTAAAGCAAATGGTGGGTTAATTTTGATTAATTTGTACTTGAATGAATAAAAAGAGTCACCCATTTAACTATCTAGCTAGCCTTCCGCAGTCCTATATACACCCATTATTTGATGTGGGGACTGAACATTTATGTAATTTTCCTGATTAATTAACTATTGATATGTTTGATATTGACGTTCAAATATAATTCATAAAATTTGAGTTCTTCATAACTATACCATCTAAATGCCCTCTAATTCTATGCTGCTTTGCAATTTGTGATGGTTGTTTCGGACCACATCGGAAACGGTTGCTTTGTTTCCTTCATTGGGCTTCAATAGCCCCTCGCACGATGAACATAAGGTTAAGGTTGTAGCCTTGGACAGTTGAATGTGCAGGGGGGACGGTCCAACTTTTAGTGCTCGTAGCTCTTGCAATTCCTTCTTCAACCTTTGGTTCTCTTCGCTTAGTTTTTTACAGCATTTCTTCAAAAACTCGCAATCTACCTCTGTTTGTTTCAGCTTGGTCCTGAAAAGTCAACATAATATTGCTCATATTAAGTATAGTCAAGTCAATACAAAAAGATATAGAAGAAAAATAAAGCGAAAAAAAGGCTCCTTTTTCTGATGAGATGGGAATCAAAGAGAAACTTGACGAAGAAGAAAAAAAAGTTACAATAAGATATATCCAAAATTGAACACCCCAGAAATTGAAGCCCATGAAACGATAAAGCCAACCATATATTCCACATCCATGCCATACCTTGCTCTTCGGTTCTGAAACCAAACTTCAACTTGCCTATGCTTTAAATTCAATTGCTCTGCAAGTGCCTGTTTCTGTACCTGCATGTGGAACCAAAATCAACCTATCGTTTTTTTTCGACCCAGGAAGATTTTTTAATAAAAATTACAAATTTTAATTTAATTAAATGTATTGATACTATTAAATATATTTTTTAATAAAAATTTGCTATACATATGTATGTTCTTATGCTGTGAAATATTGTACGTGATTTACAAAATCATTAAATTTTAATAAAAGAAACAAATAATGGATATGTATATGTATAATATAATAGTAATCACACACACATATATATCATAATTTGATATGTATATACAACTTCAGTGCCATATTCAACATGCAATTTAATTAGCTTCCATAAAATTTAAAAAACAATCAAGGATCGGTATCAAGATGCTCAAGGCAATTGTGAAAATGAAAAGGAGAGAAAATTTCAGAATATGGAAGAATGGATCAATACAAGGTTAAGAGTGGTGTGCAGCTTGAAGTTATTCTCCAACGTGGCTGATTGCTCCTTTGTAAGCTTCAGCTTCTTTCTGCTACCGTTATAGCGATTGTTGTTTTCAGGACTCCTTTCATTTGGGTCCTTCAAAATCGATCCTTCGGCCTTATGATGCTGTTGATCCACCTCTATGGCTTCCCCTTTTGGACAAAGCTCAATCGTTAGGTCCAAACAAGGCAGTGGCTTGTTTATATTCTGCTTTTCCTTCTTTGGTACATACCCTTCTAATCCAAGTCCAAGACTTAGGCTTGTGATGCATGCCTCATCATCTTCCATGGCAGAGAATGAAAAGAGAAATTAACAGGGAGAAAGGGTCGAAGTTGGGTGTAAAATAGTCAAATATTGGGAAAGTTGGGGTTTATGAAAGAGGCGAATGATATAGATTTTATTATTGGGGTTTGGTCTTAGTCTTGTAGATTCAATTTCAATCAGTTATAATTGGGTTTGTTGTTTTTATTGGTAGAATAAAAATAATAAAAAATATGCATGTAGAGTAATTGTAGTACTAATGACGACTTAAACATTAAATGCAATAATAAAATTGTGCTAAAGGAGTAAAAGCATGCGTTAGAATTCTGACTCCTTTTAGGAAACCAAAACTTTCTTAATGGCATAAAATGTTTGACTTTTCAATTTTTTAATTCCAAGCCAGTTTGAGTCAGTCACCAGATCGTATCTTTCCCAACACTTTCTATGATAGTGCTCTGTCTAGTCAGGTGGGTTCCAAAACCCAACTTTTTAATTAATAAATTTCCAAATATTTAATATTTTAAAATATTAACATAATTTTTAACGTATATTTAATTATACAGAACAAAATTTTTAAAATAATAAATTTTAAATATTAAAAATTTAATATATTAATTACATTAAATATTATAAATTTTAATAAAATATTATTTATTATACTTCATTCAACACATTGAACGTATTTTTTTAATAAAAATATTTATTAATTATTTAATGTTCTTATAATATTTATTAACAAGACTTAAATAATATTATTTTTCTATTTTATTTAAATGGTTTATTTATTTTAATTTTTTCATTTAAGACTATAAAAATATTTATAATTCTTTCTAATAATTATTGATTTATTAAAGATTTTTTTAACCAACAACTAAAATTAGCTGTTATCTAAATAATGCAATTAAATAAAAAAAATCTTAATTTCAAATCCTAATCTCATACTTTATAAAGTTATTCAATTTTTTTTTTTCAAATGTTACATTGCTGACTCTAAAGTTGTGAAAAAATTTAAAATTAATATCAATTAGTAAGGTTAATTTTAAAATTTTAAAAGTAGTGATATTTTATAAAATAAATAAATATTTATCATGTAAAAATATAAAAGTATAATATTTTTATAAAGTTATTTTAAATAATTAAAAATAACTTTTAAAATGATATTAATACAGTTATTTAAAAAATAAAAAACTATAATCCCCAAAGTATTGATAAATCCTTCCCCTATGATGGATAAAATGTACACTTTGATTTAAAGGAGAGTGGGAGTATTTTGAAATCGACATGAATTTTGGGAGTCACTGGAGTGGCAACGGACTAGTCAATACAAAGATATTTTTGGTATTGTTTTTATTTTATTAATTTCAATTTTTAGCATTAATTTTAAAATTAAAAAATTATATAAGTATATTTTTAGTATTATGTTTTTTGTTCATTTCAGTTTTAGTGTTAATTTTAAGTTTTGAAATTAAAATATTTTATTAAAAAATGCTCATTTTTTTATATTTTTAATATGATAAATTTTTAATAAAAATTTACTAATTTTAGTCATTCAAAATTAACTCTAAATATTAATATTAATATTTTTTATATTTCATTAAATTTTTATTTATTTTATTTTTAAAATTAAACATAAAACATTTTAAATAATAATCTTTATCAAAAAAATTATGTTAAAAATACAAAAGTGAAAACTAAAGCAGTTCAGATGACTCTTATTGCTGTCATTAACCCATGCAATTAACATGATTGTAGATAAACGGGGCACTGTTTCAGAATTAGTGTGACGATTGAGACTTGAGTAAGCAATTAATTATATGTTAATTTAAGATTTTTTTTTTCATGGTCACATTAGTTCAACGTCAGTCTTTCATATTAAATTTAAATATTTACACGTATTAACTTTTAATTACAAACATTTATTAATATAATATATTTTTCAAGTTTTTTTTAAATATTTAAATTTAATCTTTAAAATGGATTGAAGTTAACAAAATAAAAATTAGATTTGTCGTGAGTGTAACTGAGGTTGGACCAGCTAAGATTTAGCATTTTCATAGTCCATTGATGAATATTCAACAAGAAAAATGTATATTTTTGAAGAGACGGCTAAACAGTGATGTGACATTACCAAGGCAAAGGTAAAATGTCTAACAAAGGAAGACATGCACTCCTTCCACCTTTATATGTAACTTTGCTTTCTATATTTTAATTAATTTAGTTAAAACTTAAAAAACTTGGCCTTTTCCTAAATTTTCTTTTACTTGAAATTTACAAAAGAAGAAAACTAAATTTATTTGCTTCTCCATTTTTTATAGTATATTTCTTATTTTTTTAAAATTTATCTCTAAATATTTATCATTTAAAGATTTTTAAAATTTTAATTATTTTTTAATAATACTCATTTTTACCATCTTATATAAATGCTTAAGTAGATTAACAATTACATGCTAACCCTCATATTAAGAGTAGTTCTTAAAAAATATGTTTATTTATTATAACAATTTAATTATTAGCTTCTTTTCTTTTGAAGTATACATTATCTTAAAAGATAAATAATTAAAAATTTTATTAACTCAAAAATTAAAACTAGATTAAATAATACATCTATTCTTAATTATTTATTAAAAAATTCAATTACTTTATTAGAATTACTTAAAAACCCTCTTAACTTATCTGTTATTAGCGAGTTTCAATTTTGTCTTTAGACAACTCAACTGATGTAAGTGATTTAAGTGTATATAAGACTTTTATATGATAAAAACACATTGAAAAAAAATAATAGTTAATATTATTTCAAGATTTTATATGGACAAATTAAAAATTTTATATGAGCAAATTATTTGTCCCTGAACAAAATATATTTTTAATTTTTGTCTTCATAAAATTTTTATTTATTTTTAGTCTCTATATTTGATAAAAAAAAAATTTTAATCTCATCAAATTATAAATGTATGATTTTTATATTAATAAAAAGTAAAAAAAATAAATTTTCATAAAAATATAATTAAAAAATGTTTTAATAGTGAAAAGAAATGGATGAAGTACGTTGTATTTGATACATTATTTGTTCTCTCACAGTGCCAAGGGGATGAGTATGCATAGGATGTAACAGTTTGACCTATGGCTGAATTATTGACGCTGCTTTTGGCTCTTCCAACTTGCAAGAATATTCAAACTAAGACAATTATGTTCCTAATACGTTTGTGATTACGTCAAAATTACACACAGAGACACGTCTTTGTGATCATAGTATTTTTTTTCCTCACTTTAATTATCTTATTAAAATTAATAAATAGTTTTTTAAATTTTTACACAAAACTCCAAACATTAAAAGAAAACTTGAAAGAAAGTTGGAGAAGAATAAGAACAACTACTAGCAGAATTCAGAAATTCTATTAACAATGACACATTTTGCAATTGACATTTAAGACATATACCTCTTGAATATAACATGCTCAGAATTAATATATATAATTTCAAGTTTAATTAAAACAATTGTTGTTTATATATTGTTATAGTCTTTTGAAGTCGAATTATTCAAGGGGAAGGATGGAGGCAGATTATATTTTGGTTCAAAGCTGCTTACCCATTCACAACCAGAAGACTTTTCATTAACAGTTTATCCTATTGACATAAAAGAGAAGCTCTGAATTGGGATGAAAATAATAATCATATTAACATATGCACATACGTTAGCCTCACGGACCGTTTCACTCTTTCATAGGAATCATTCATTTGTTTTTTATGTAGGTTTAAGGATAAAATGAAAATTTTAATATTATAATTTTTATTAATGTTCATTAGGATTAATTTTTAATATAATAAATATTTTTAATAAAAATACTTATAATTATTTTAAAAATATGATGTTATTGTCCTGTACTTACTAATGAACATTGACACAAATGATTAAGGATTTATTAAAAAATAAACATTTACCTTTTTCAGCAATGATAAATTACAAGATGCCTTAATCTTTAGAAAGATGAAAAGTGATGATAAAACTTCTCTGCATGCACGAGGAAGAGTTTAATTGATGATGTTGAGTTTGAGTTTTTAAATATGTATTGAATACTTAAAGAAATAAATTTATCGTATATAATATAGTCTTTCCTACCTCAAATAAAATTATCTTTTATATAAAGAATACATGATTGTAAATAAAAAATAAAAACTTTTCAACGTAAGGAAAAAAGGTCAATAAATTAATCTCTCACCAAAACTTGATGACAATTCTCACATCAAATAATTTTTTGCACATGCTTTTAGTCTTATAGTTTTTAAAAGTTAATTAAATTTATCAACTTTTAAATTATTCAAAATTGATATTTTATTGACTTTTTTCTACTTAAAATTCTTAAATTGTTTTCTATGGAATTCTTTAAGAGGTTTGAAATGAAATAAGAATATGAAATAATTTTAAAAGTATAAAAGTAAAAAAAAAAAAAAGAGAGAGTAAAAACTTGATAAAAAAAAAACTGAAATTTTATAAAATGTGAGATTAAGATTTGAAAAGAAAAAAGTCAAGTTTTTTCTTTAATGAAATTTGATATTTTAATCAGTAAATTAAGTAAAAAAAATTTAATTAATTCAATATTGTAAATATTTTGGATAGAAAACAAGAATTTGCAGGTATAGGTAGAAAAAATTTGATAGGAGACCGAATTTACTAAATTTTTATAATTGAAGGACTTAATTGGCTCAAAAGATTTAGGGAACCAAAAATACAACTAAATTCCTTTTTTGTGTATTTATGAAAGAAATTTTTTATTTATATTATTTGTCCATTTGAAAAATTCAAGACATTATTGAGTATCATCTTTTGCCCTTATTTTTACCTTATTCTTAAATATTTTATACATTTAGCATAAATAAAAATATTAAATATTACATTTAAAGGTTAAAAATAGTTTTACTATAAATATCAATAATGCTTTTTTTAATGTGTTATCTTTTTAAGTTGATAAATAAAAAAAAGAAGACTAACATGTAACCATTTCACTCAAATTTTGAAGAGTATAGGTTGCAGTTTCTCCTAAAAAATTACATCCAATGCTCAGTTCAGCATCAAACAGCTAGTGACATGGCATACATATATTCCTAAATAGAAATTTTCCAAGCCTAAGATCCTTTACTCACATAATCATTGTGAGAAAAAAACTCCAGCTAGAACCCGATGTGAATATAGAAGCAGGCTAGATGTGTTATACTCCTTAAGTGGTTAAAAGAACCTCTTGAATGAATCAAGGGTTATCCCATATATTATTGACTTATATAGGTCATTCCTATTCACTATGGCGCAGAGTTTTGAAAAATATACAACTTCCGATCAGTTTCAACACAATGATTGAGAATTATAATGTTGGGAGTGTATTACACTGAAATCACCAGGAAGGAATAGAGGAAGCAAGAAGCAGTGACATACCAAAGTTCAAAACAAAAACAAACTAACCAGCAGTGGTAATACAAATCTCCTTTAGTGAATACTTATTTTAGTCCCTTCAATTATAAGCTTCCATAATTTTAGTCTCCAATTTTTTTTTTAAAAAAATCACTTTAATCATTGATTTGACAAAACGTTATTTATTTTAATCCTTTTTTATATATACATAAACTGAAGTAAGAAAAGACTAAAATGAGTGAATTTTTCGTTTCCAAGGTTCCAATGCACAACCATCTACTTGGTTCAATTTATTATGTCACATGAAAAAGTAGAGGAAAGCAATAGAATGAGAAGTAAAATAGCTATTGCTCTGAAAATGGGATACCTATCCAAACAGGTTCAGTACAAAAGAAGCTGGAAATTGGGAGTAAGGGTGTGATAATTGAAAAACTATCCATCACATTATACATTAAATAAACCCTTAGTTGTGTCAAAATGTAGTGTCGTCACTTATCATGCTTTTATAAGTAAAGATTCCATATTGTCACAGAGTACAATCAGGGATTTGCAATAGAGTTTTCCCTAATTAACAACCTGATTCAGAGATCTTCATGATCCGTTGTCTCAATTCCTAGAAGTTTAGCCAGACGTCCCCTCTCATAAGCTTCAACGGTTTCTGGATATAAGATAAAATAAACAAAGAGTCATTGAGAACATTTCTAGGAGAATCATATTTTGATTGAACATGGTATGATCATTTTTTTCATTGCTAAGAAAACACTTACCATCTGAGCCTCCAAGGTGTTTTCCATTAATGAAAACTTGTGGCACAGTACGCCTCCCAACAATATTAACCAAGATATCCTGAATCTTTGAACCATCATCTGCAAGAAAGTAGTCTTACTATCTCAGTAACAGCAATGAGCTTCAAAATAAATTACACAGCATTTTTAACATTCTACCAAAAGACACTTCCAATTTAAACCCTTTCTTCCGTTTACTTTCCCTCTCTACACCAAGCGGCTCCTGAAGAAGAAAACTATCTTATTTACTTCTAATATTGCATTAAGTTTTAGTTTTAACCTTACAAAGCTTTCAGTCCAAGAACTGGGATGTTAATCTAGCCGTGCTTTTTATAAATGCAATTATGAATCTTTCATTTGATTTTCATCAGAACTAGAACCAACTCAAGGCTTTAGCAAAACCATTAATAGAAATCAAAAAGACAAAAGCCAAGCTGAAGTTTTCAGTATACCTCTCTCATCAAGCTCAACGACATGCGCAACTTGGTTCAACTCTTTGAAAACAGCCTTTGCTCTTTTACAGTACCTAAACACCACAATGAAATCAGAAAAAAAACAGGTTGATGAATACCCCAGACTTCATTTAATAGGCATTTTCTTTTTCTGTGGTGCAGTAAACAATTTTTGAGTATAGTTAAGAACCAACTCAATAGTCAAGGTGTGAGAGTGAGTGTGGGACACATTTCCAACACCGATACCTCCCCAATATTCACACAACTCGTGTTGAGCATTTCTCACTAAGTGTTCAATTATAGAATTACCTTTTGCTGGCTCAGACATTTGAGAAAAGAACTCCATAGATGTGGATAGACAATTCAAGAACACTAGTATTATAGAAAACATAAAAATATTGATTATCGTTTAGATCCTGGGTTATGTTGCTTATATTTAACTTCATTTGAGTTTCTCTTTCTCTCTCTGGAATGCGTGAGTGTATTTGTAGTGTTCGGGTGTCATTACAAGGCAGAAGGCACTGATCAGTGATCACATAATTATCAGGTAATGAGCAAGTACAAACATAAAATCAGATTATATGCGATCCAAATATCAGATCAATAAAGTCCTATTCAAAACATAAGCACCCATCAGAGGATAATCAATTACATAAAAAAAAGAGAACAAAACAATACCACGAACCAATGAAATGCAGAAAAAGAACATGACCAATCAGAATTCAGATAATGTGCCGGACAGCACCTTATGTTTCACGGCACACAATCAGATCTTGAAATGCTAATAGTAGACAAATCCATAACTATACTATAGAAAACGGAATAAAAGCAATTAGATCAATGGAATTAGAGAATGAAAGGAACAGAGAGAGAGAGAGAGAGAGAGTTTACGAACGGGCAATAAGTCTTGGAAAAGATGACGACGCTGTGAGAAGAGATGGTTTCGTCAACGAATTGACCAACGGATGAAGCTTGAAGAGAATGAAGAGAGGTCGTTGCTAAAGCTATAAGAAGCAGTGCAGTTATGGTGACTCTTGCAGATGCAGCAGCCATGGTTGAAGCCGCAGAGTAAGAGAGAGAAAGACAAGACCTCCTTTCTGTTGTTTTGTTTTGAGAATACGAGGAAGCCTCACCGTTGATTACAAACTTAGCACCCGCTGTGTCTGTGCATCGGACGATGCACGCCGAAGCAACTTGTAAACGGGCTCCTCTGTCTGGTTGGATTCGGTTCCTACTGACTTGCTTTTTTTTTTTTTTTAGCTGGTAAAATATATATATATATAAAATCAATAATAGCAGTAGGATAAAATTTCTGTTAATTTAATAATACTACTAGGATAAAATCAATGCAATTTTAGCTTTTGCGGAAAAAAAAATGCAATTTTTGTGAAAAAATAGAACATTGAAAATAATAAAAAATCCCATATGCTTTTTCTAGTAGAATAAATTTAGTAATATTCATAGATGTTATTTTTTTTAATAATACCTATTTAGCATAAGCAATATTTAAATAAAAATATTATAAAAATAAAAAAAAATTATAAGAAAATGATTGTCAAATAATAAAATAGAATTCTTAGTAAAATATTTGTAATTTTTCAATAAAATTATCATGCGTCATTCTCTCTTATTTCTTCATTTTAAAAATTTATATCAAGTAAACTTTTATGTACTAAATAAATAATTAAATACTTTTTGTAACAAAAATTCTTATTTTTATTAAATAAAATTTAAATAATTAATATAATATAAAATGTTAGATAATTTATAGAATTTAAATAAATAACTAAATTCAGTATAAATATTTAATATTATTAAAATAATATTCAGAATTATAAAACACTATCATGTGTCAACCAATAAGAGTGTTACCCACTGTAGATAACACTCTTTGCACTGCTGATATGTCATAGCCATTTTGATGTGTTAACTATTCATTAAGTATTGCTCATTCAATTAGTTATATTTAATTGACAAGTGTGAGTAATACATTGAATATCACTCCTATCATAAACAAGACTTAATTTAAAAAAAGATAATATTATCATTTATTTTAAATATATATATATATATATATATAAGCAATATATTTTCTCACATTAATATAAATCTAAAAAATTTTATACTTGATTTTAGTCTTTCATATTTAATTTACATTTACAATTAATAAAACTATAAATTATAACTCGTTAAATATATAATTTATAATGTGAAAATATCCTTTTCATATATATATATATATATATATAAAACCTTTTCTTGATAAATATATTTTACCTTCACAATGCTATCACCTTTTCTTATATCACTTCTTGCCTTGCATGAGGAATAACATCTAAGCATAGGTATGCATTTAGTGAGATCAGTCATATGGTGGAAAATATAAGAACGAACAGATGTGGGTAAAGGTTAAGTAAAAGGTGAAAACTTAAGTGCCGTTGCTGCTGTCTATCACTAAAATTTAAGTTTTGCCTTAATAATCAATCCACAATAACATTAAATGTAAATATTTTATTAAGATAAAAATTTAATTTTAATTAATAAACAATACTACTAATTTCTATATGACAACACCTAAGCTTTGTCCTAAGTGAAACTAACTTTATTAAGTAGACGAGAGGATATTATTAAGTACAATGTTGATCTTCCCCGTTTGTGTTGTTCTGAGACACTTCCCAACAAAACAACGAAACATATCACAGGAGTAGGTGTTTAGGAGTCAATAGTTCAATACCACATTCGATTGCTTTCTACAAACTTCATTAATTGTCTGCCAAGCTTTTCTAAATTACTTGTCCAGCACACAAAATCAAAACATAATCGCATAAATATGATACATCCACTAAGGCAAGTATGAATTCAATTGCAGTGTTGTCATCATCACCCATTCTAGAGATCAAATAAGCCGCAATTGTAATGCTAAAATCCCGAGATTTTGTTCCAAGGGGAACGGCTATGATAAAATTGTCACATATTTCCTGAAGTTCCTTAAGAATTTCACTACTAGATATTTCAAATCACAAATTTAACCCTCAAAGACTTATGATTTCCTTAATAGTACACCCTAGCTCAGAAAATTTAATATGGCTACTACTGTATATACTTTCTATAGGGAATTACTAGTCTTAACCATCTGTTTCATTGTTAGTTCTTTTGATAGCAATCTTCCCCTTGCACATATAACAACCATGATGGTTTTAAAACCTCAAACAAGTACCCCACAGTTCAAACATCACCTGAATGACAATGACCTTCTAAATCATATACAAAGGAATTGTCCAATATGGAGAATTCATAAAAGCAAAAGATTGTGTCTGTTCCATTCTGAACACGTAAACCACTATGCAATCGCACAAAATTCAGGTTTAGTATAGCTGTCACAGATCTTATTAACTAATCTTCACATGGAATATGAAGACAACAAATGATGTTCAACTCATTTGACAAATTGAAACGCATTCGAATGCCTAAAATCGATCCTCGCTACTTGCAAGCATACCTCCCACAAAAGTAATTAAATCAAATCTTCTCCCACCTTCTCAACTAGTTCCAAACACACACAACCTTGCTTAAATTGGATTAAAAAACAATCAGAAATCAAGAGTCAAGAATCATAGATTGGTAAGTGATAATGAAACATATGCATTGGCACGCACAGGACCAATGATCGGACTTTCTTCTTTCGAAATGGAAAAGATGTCATGCCACCCCATGTAAAAAACCAAAAATAGAGGAAAAAGAGCAGGCAATGGTATGAAAATTCTGTAGCTCACTCTTCCAGACCCGTTGTTGTGGTAACTAAACAGCAATGAAATGCAACAAATATCAAGTTAGTAAAAATCAAAAAAGAAAAAAGCCCTCAAATTGTGGTTCAATTATTCATTCCTGTCTTATAATCATACAGAAACTCAATCTCAACAGATAATTGACACTATAGAACAAAATCTCAACAGTATATATCATACATACAGAGTAATTACAAATTACAATCTAAATACTCATAATCTCTCAGACAAAAAACAAAGTAGAGTACAACAAGGGAAGATCTGTACACGAGGATGCTATGTAAACTTAAATTATAAGAAATAGGTGGCTAGTAGCTACACGGGAGGTATGTTAGAGAAAGAGAAGCCTTTGTATCCCTTGTAAGCATAATAAGCAATCCGCGTGTAGTAGAAACCCGGTATGAACAAGATTACTCCCAGTATTGCAAAGAAGATCCCTATCAACCATTCAAACATAATAATAATAATAAATCAACAAAAGGGGTGAAAAAAAAAACCAATAATTTAAGTTTTTAGAATCCCTCATGCGGCCAAAAATTCTCAAACTTTATCAGTAATCTTCAATTTTTTTCAGCTACCCATTTACAATAACCAGTCTCCAATCAGAAAATTAAAAATTTTATATAAAAAAAAATGGTTGTTGTTACCGTGTGCAGTGTCGCCGCCGACATGATTGTAGGCCATGAGGGAACCGATGATGATGCCGAGGAAGCCGCAAACGAGGAGGGAAACGGCGAGGGCGATCTCTTTGATGGGGGGTTTGTTGTTGACGGTGTACGAGGTTTCTACCATGAAATCCTCGTCGGAAATGGAGAACGCGTGATCCACGTATGCCATTGTTAAAATCTGTGTGTTTGGGTGATCGAAAGAAAGGGTTGAATTAGGTGGGGGAAGGTTGAATTCAGCTTTCGCTTGGTGTTTAAGACTCGATTGAGTTGGGTTTTGAAATGGGGATTGGTCAGTTTGACTATTTGATTTGATCAACCACTTATAAAGGTCATTTGCTACGGCATTCAATCTAACTTCGCTCAAAACAAGCAAACCAGACCAAAAGATTCTAGGACATCTGATGTTTTTATTTTATTTTATTATTCTTTTCAACCCACCTGTCTGCTATAAATCTTATCCTTATATGAAGTAAATACTCAATTTATATTTTTTTATTTAACCCAATCTAATTCTTAAAAAAAGGGAATTATCATATATTTTTAAATTATTAATTTTAAGCATTTTACTCTTTTTATTTATTAAATTTAAATATTAAAATACATCATCTTTATACCTTTTTAACAATCAAAAAAATTATTTATTCTTTTCATATATCAAAATGTCACAAAAAATTTTTTAAGAGCTAAATTTAGATATTCACTTGTTAATACTTAATTCTGGGACACAAAAGGAAAAATATATTTATATAATAAATGTTTATATTTTTTTATAAATTAGTGAGAGATATAAAAAAGAGAGAGAAAGAGATAATATAATGGATAAAATAAAATAAAATAAAAAGAAGTTTTTGGGTGCAAGACGTAAGATTTCTGATGAGTGATAATTAAGATTCAATCTTAAAATTTTTAGTTAAGCTAAAATAACTTAAAATCAGTTGATTGGTGCACTCAAAAATAATTAAATTTATTATTTTACTTTATTTCTGAAGATATTAATTGAAAAATTAAAAATATAATAACAATATTTTTATTTTTAATTTCTCTATTAGCATTTTCAGAGTATAAATTAGTATTTGCCTATCTTCTAGTAAGAAAGTTCAATTTAAGGGTGGAAATTCTTTATAATTGCTTTGAACTGATCGGAATCCTACACATCTAAATTTTAAGATTTTATATTGTATTTTTAATAAGTTGTGTGATTTTTTTCTTAGCATCAAGTACATTATATTTTATTTTTTAAAATTATTGTTTCTTAAAATTAATTATAAATTTTCATTTTTATTTTTAAAATAATTTTTTATTAAATTTTTTATCTGTCCTAAAATATGTAATTTTATCCTTATTTAACATCAATAATATTTTTACCTTTTTAATATATTTTTTAAGTTTTATTTAAAAGTATTAATAAGGCATATAAAATATTATTCGGCCATATTAAAATATATTTTGCAAGTGGGCTTGGATTCCTTTTTGGTGACTAATGAATTTCACTCGATCAACTTTCATACTTGTAGCACCCAATAAGACTTGATCAGAAGAAATATAGTTGAATTATTTTAAAACAATTTGTATTCAACATCTTCCCAACATTTTCTTTTTAAATAAACTTATAAAATCAATCAAAGAAAGCATATACCAATAATTTATTTTAAAAAAATCTACGCATATTTAGTCATACCCTAAAACAAATTTTAGTTTTATGAATCTTGTAGCATAGAGATATCTTAGTTTTTACTGAGTCATAGATTACATTTCAACTAATTTTAACCAAAGTCATCATTCTCTTGGCTATTAATAGTAGAGTTAGACTTTGGACCTCTGAAGGAGTAACAACCCAAACATTTCATACAGAGGGAGAAATAAAAGGCTTACTTGGCTAGAAAATTATCAAGCCCGTTAGCCTCACAAAACAGATGGATCATCTGCATTTCATGGATAACCAAAACCCAAGTTATTAGGCCCTCTGTACATGAGTGTTTGCATCAATTCAATTTTCTTATTTCTAGAGATGCGCTGTTTCTTATAATGGTTGTGCACGTTAAATTTGCTGCTGAACAGAAGATAACTTTCAAAAGTTACATTGCTATTTACAGGAGTAGTTTTTATCTAGTTCGAGAAGGTGTTACATCTAGTGGCTTCTTTTATGTATATATGGGAGTAGTAGCAGGATTGGAATATGATGCAAGAAAAATAATTATTTTGATTCTCCTACTTAATTATTATTCTCTTGAACATTTTGAAAAGTTGTTCTTGTACTTTGTTATTTTTAGTGTAGTAAAATTATCAAGAAGTGACTATTGTACCCCCAAAAGTGCTATCTTTGAGACATTTTGTATTAAGTTATTTGTAGTGGCTAAGTATTTTTAAACTCACGTATGAGCTAAAATTGATATGTTCATTTTGTATTTATTTTATTTTTTATGCAATTGTAGTTAATTAATAATTTCTTTTTATGTTGCTATTATTACATTTTTGTGTGTTTCTGCTGATCTTTCTAACAATTATGTGCATATAACATGGCGTCATGCAGGATTCCAAAGGTTATATCATGCTGAAGGATTATTGAAACCGTTGCTTCGAAATTGGTTAACACTGTGGTCTGTATTTGTTATCTGTTCTATATCTGAATGCAAAAGGCCATTTGAGTTCTTAACTTTTACGATTCTTTCGTTCTTACCAATATCTAATTTAAAGGACAGTTTTATAATGAAAGAATTTAATTTGTGCATCTGAAAAGTCCATGACAGCCGGTAAAAGGCAAGTAGTTATTTGTTTCTTAAATGGCTGTTAAAATAAAGATAGCAAATACTATAAACCATAAAACAGAACCATAAAGAAGAGTAGAAAGACAAGAACAGAGTTATTTTCGTTTTGCTGTATAACAATTCTGTTATGCTATCATGCATTTATATTTAAGTATAAAATATATCAGAAAAATATCCTATTATAATACTCAACATGCCGCAGCAAAAAGGTCATGCACCCACTAACATTAGGAGTGCAAATATACCCAAAATATAAGCAAATTAAAACCACCAATCATGACATTATTTACTGACACAAGCAAACATACTGTAATAAGTGAACATAATTAAAACAGTAAATAAGAAAAAAAAAATTTTACAACCCATTAAATTTAACAAGGGCAAACACCTGAAAGCATGCAGTTACCATATGGGATGGAACTAGGATTGTTCAGCAGGCACGGAGTGATGAGCGAGCTATAATGGAGATAAGTTTTATTTTTATGCGAATCCAAATAAACAACTCACCCCTCTCTTATCTTTTTTCTATGTAGACAAAAGAAATCATCTAGAGACAATTCTGTTCCAATTCGGTAACAACTCACTCGAATATGACGAAAAAGTTAGAAATTTAAATAGGTCATGCAACAAACATAAAAAATAATCAGACTTATTTCACAATATAACTGTTGTATCCCCTAGTAGAGCATGCTCCAAGCCAGTCTCTTCACAAAAATTACAAAGAAAATTCTACACCCAGATATTTACTTTTAACTTTTAATCTGCTCAAGTTTCTCTAAGTCATGCTGTCAGATATTTGTTTCAAGTCTATGATATATGAAATTGAATTACATTGTAAAATTTAACAAGTTGGACTAAAAAATTGTTTTAATTGCAAAGGTAAGCTGGCAGTATGAACCTATGATTATATGAATAAGGATATTGTTACATAGTTGCGAAAACTATAATATACTAGAAACTGTAGTATGTGAAAATTGTGGATTTAATTGTTGGCGATAAAGTTGGAATGTGTCACTCTTGTTACTGAAGCTTATGTAATGGAATGTTGGCAATGCAGTGAACAGTCCACATTGATAGTTAAGATCAATCATTGGGATTACATTTTTGGGCATCTTACACCTCTTATGAGATTTTTTGTTTTTTGTTGAATCAAACTGTATTTGTCATTATGTTACTATTAATTAAAAATGAAAACTCGGATCTAGATTGTCTCCAATTTTGGTGAGAACTGGCCATTCATTTCTATTTTTGTTTAAGCGAAAATATATTTGTTTAAGCAAAAATACAAAAAATAACAAAATTGTTCTAAGCAAAAATAGTTTACGCAAATTTTTTTGACTTATGTGAATTTTTGCAGATTCGTTTAAACAAATTATTTTGACTTAAGCGAATTTTGTATATTCTCTCTCAATCTTCTCTTTTCCTTTTCTTCTTGCCTAACACTCCGTATTTAACCCCTATGTTCAACCTTCTTTCGTCTCTATATTCAACCTCTTTTATTCTTTTATATCCAACTCTTCTCTTTCTCTCTCAACTTAATCTTTCTTCCACTTAATGTCTAACTCCTTTCTTTCTCTTCTCACTCTTACTCTACCACGTACTTATCTCTTTTTTTTTTTTTTTTATACCTAACTCTCTACCCTCCTCTCCCTCTGCCATCATTTTTATACTATTGGCTCTTCATATCTCCATCCTTCTTTAGTCTTCTATTTTTCTTACACCTAGTTTCTATCTCTTTGAATGTACAAAATTCGTTTAAGCTAATCTGCAAAAATTTGCTTAAACCAACAAAATTTGTTTAAGCTATTTTTGCATATAATTTTGTATCGTTTTCTACATTTTCACTTAAACGAAAATAGAAGTAAATGTCTAATTTCTGACGGACCTGAAGATAATCTAAATCCATGAAAAGCCATAGGAGCTTTAGTAATTTGACGATTAAGGGTCTAGTAGCCTACGTCTAAATTAAGAAAAATGAACGTCAAGTTTTATAAAAAAGGGAAACATATTATTTTCATCAGGGCATGGTTTATGATTATCGTGGTTGTACTTCAAGTTCGTGTCACATAAGAATTAATGTCATGAGTGACGGTCCAAAGTTCTCTACTTTTCAAATTAGCTTACAAGATGTGAATCCACCTCCAGTATAGATGACTCACCACTGATTTGAACTCATGGGCATTATCTATCTATCTATATATATATATATATATATATATATATATTAGCGGCTTGTAATCTCTTATCTTAATTAAAAGGAAATAAATATATAAATGTTAAAATGTAAAAACATGCCAATCACTTGGGACTAAACTGGAAAGAATATGTAAATTTTCTCATTTCAAGTTTTCAACATGGCTGATTCAACTTTATATATTGTTTGTGAGTTTCAGTTCTTAAGTAAAAGTATTTTCAAGAATCATCTTAAATGGGAGTATTTTTAAATGTTAGTTCTCTTCTTATTTTTTAATATAATCTTAATTTAGATTTATATTTAAAATTTTATGATTTAAAAAAAAAATATCTCTTTAATTTAATCTTTATTTAATATAATAAGCTTTTTATTACTGATATCTTATTCCAGCTTTCTATTTAATAATTGTTGATTTCAAGAAAAGAAAAAGGATCCAATGATAGCTTTTCTATATCAATGTGTCAGCTCCACTGCATAATCTATGAAAAAAAAATCCCATTGTTAATCATACGATAAATTTGCCAATTTATTTTGTTGGAACATAATTTACATATTTATTTCAACTTCATGATTTCAAATGAAATTTGAAGATCTATATAAATTAAATACACACGCCAGATAAAGTTTATTATCTTCTTTTTATATTTCAATTACGTATGGATGATTGATGAACAACAGCCACGTTCACATGAAACTGCCTTCCTCAATTTTTCTTTCTATCATAATTTTATAATGTATCAAAGTGTCTCACGGCTCCATATATTTTCAATGAATCATTCCCTACCCCTTGCTATCTCACTCTTTTGCTTTTCTTTATTAGTTGTTGACGTAATAAATGACAAATTGCTACACTGAAGTCCTGCAAATTGTCGGTCTTACTTTTCAATAACATCTAAAAATCAAATAAAGGGTCGTTTTGATTTTTGACTTAGAACACCAATACACTGTTTTTCCAACTCTCTCATACTGACTTGAGTTAATTGCATTTCAACTTATTTCGAGGAAGTTGCAAGGAAATCGTATATCATCTTTGGGACCTTGCTTTTTGAAAAACAAACTAACTTTTTATTCTAAATTACACAGCCTAGTGGCTCAAAAATGATTGCAAGTGTTGGATCCTAATTGGCATGACCATTGCAACTCTCTAAGCAAATGGATAGGTTGCTATTGCTGTAAGTTAATGCCAAAGTCAACCCATGCTTCTTCTTTCTTATTCTCTTCCAATTGTTAATCCGATGGCAGTGTTTATGTTTTTGAATAGAATCTCGGTTTAAGAGCAAATGGGTTGTGATTAATTAGCAAAACCATTTGTTCGGTGGAAAGAAAGATCAACCTTGTAAGATGGCTCAGCCTGTGGTGACCTTCATAGTGCAAAGTATTGGTGATTTGCTCATTCAAGAAGGACTGTTCTTATATGGGGTGGAAGACAAAGTGTTGCAGCTGAGAACTGAATTGAGGAGGATGCAGTCTTACTTGCAAGATGCAGATAGAAGGCAAGAAGAAAATGAAAGCCTCAGGAATTGGATTTCAGAAATCAGAGAGGCTGCTTATGATTCTGATGATGTTATTGAGGCACATGCCCTCAGAGGAGCCTCAAGAAGAAATATGATGGATGGTGTATTGAACCTCATCAAAAGGTATGCTTTGATCATCCACAGGCTCATAGAAATCCACCAAGTGGGATCTCAGGTTGATGATATCATAGCTAGGATTTCTAGCCTCACAGTTTGTCTGCAAACTTATGGTATAAAACCTGAGATAGGAGAAGCCCCAAATTCTGTGCATGGGCGGCAAAGAGCATTGAGGAGGTCTTACTCTCATATTATTGAAGAGGACATAATTGGTGTGGAAGATGATGTCAAGATTTTGCAGTCATGTTTGCTCAACCCCAACAAAGGCTATAGAGTAGTAGCCATTTGTGGAATGGGGGGTTTAGGGAAAACAACATTGGCTAAAAAGGTATATCATAGTACTAATGTGAGGCACCATTTTGAGGGCTTGGCTTGGGCTTACATATCACAACATTGCCAAGCAAGGGATGTGTGGGAAGGGATTTTGTTTAAGCTGATCTCTCCTTCCAAAGAGCTAAGAGAGGAACTAGTCAACATGAGAGATGAGGAGATTGCAAGCATGCTTTACCAAGTTCAAGTGGAGAAGAGTTGCTTAGTAGTCCTTGATGATATTTGGAGTGCAGATACTTGGAACAAACTGAGTCCTGCATTCCCACATGGGAGATCCCTATCAGTAATGGGTAGCAAAATATTGCTCACTACTAGAAATATTGATGTTGCATTACAAATGGATCCCAGTTGTTATCTTCATACACCAAGATGTTTGAATGAAGATGACAGCTGGGAATTGTTCCAAAAGAAAGCATTTACAAAAGTTGATGATCCAGGTATTTAGATTTACATTATCCTCTTCCTAGAATGAACTCTTATTATTATTATTATTATTCACAATGCAGTAGTTTAGCACGTTGATTAACTTGCTAATTTCAATCTTCTAATTACTTTAAAAGACAGAAATAGTTGTCAAACCTTGTTTAATTCTTCTGTTCATAGAAGTTTCCAAACAAGAGAGACAAAAAATGAGTTAGATGTTTCTATTCTTGTGCTCATTACTCTTAAGAAAGAAATAGTTGTCAAGCCCTGCTTATGACCTCTAGAAATTTTCTGGGTGTTAAACAAAGAGGGAAATCATAACTTAGAAGTTCATATATGACAAAATTTTATCATAACTGAACTTTAGATTTTAGAATCTGGCTTACTTTCCCTAATATAACTGCAGAATTTCAATTATTTACTACTTGTGCCTTGGCTTTTATGTGGTGTTCATTTTCCACACACAGGATGGATTGTTTCCTTCTTTTAAGTCTATTCATTTTGCTGAAACCTCAATCATATCATATACTTATGTGGATTTAACTTATAAACAAACATACATGACTACAGTACTTCTTCATTGAAATTCTTCGTCATCTTTTACTGAATTTGTACCAAAGAATTAAATATAGGATTTACACATGGGAATGAACAACACCCTCTTACGAATTATGTTGAAGAGATTTTACAATTCTTCCAAGTTGGCATTTCTGGTAACCACATGCTGTTTGCTTTGCACAGACTTCAGAACAAGCACAGAGATGGAGAAGCTAGGGAGGGAAATGGTTGGAAGATGTGGAGGTTTACCATTGGCCATCATTGTGCTTGGAGGACTGTTAGCTTCAAAGCCTACATTCTATGAATGGGACACAGTGCGTCAGAACATCAATGCATATTTGAGGAGAGCAAAAGGCCAAGAACAACGCTTAGGAGTGTCTGAGGTGCTAGCTTTGAGCTATTATGAATTGCCATACCAATTGAAGCCATGCTTCTTGCACTTAGCCCATTTCCCAGAAAATCTAGAGATACCAACAAAGAAATTAATAAGAATATGGGTGGCTGAGGGTATTATATCATTGGTTCAGGATGAAGGGGAAGGCGAGGAAGCTCTTGAGGATGTGGCACAACGGTACTTGACTGAGCTAGTGGAGAGGTGTATGATTCAAGTGGTAGAAAAGAGCTCAACCGGAAGAATAAGAACTTGCCAAATGCACAACCTCATGAGGGACCTGTGTGTTTCTAAGGCATATCAGGAGAACTTTCTTGAGGTGTTTAATTCATGGAATGTAGTTGAAACTAGAGGGGCATCAAGAGCAATGCCAACAGGGAAAGTTCGTAGGCTTGCCTTATATCTTGATCAAGATGTTGATAGGTTCTTCCCTTCACACTTGAAAAGCCACCGCCATCTAAGGTCTCTACTTTGCTACCATGAAAAAACAGCTAGGCTAAGTGAATGGGGGTTGATGAAGCCAGTTTTCAACAAATGTAGGTTACTTAGAGTCTTGAACTTGGAGGGAATACAGGGTCAGAGAGGGAAGTTACCAAAAGAAATTGGCTACTTGATTCACCTAAGGTTTCTCAGTCTTCGAAATACAAAAGTTGATGAGTTGCCCCCATCAATAGGCAATTTGAAGTGCTTGCAGACCCTGGATCTTCTCACTGGGAATTCAACTGTTCAAATACCAAATGTGATAGGGAACATGCACAAATTAAGACATTTGTATCTACCAGAGTCTTGTGGTGATAGCACTGAAAGATGGAAACTTGACAGCCTGAAAAACTTGCAGACCTTGGTTAACTTCCCTTCTGAGAAGTGTGGGGTAAGAGACCTCATGAAATTAACCAATTTAAGAAAATTGGTGATAGATGATCCTAAATTTGGAGATATCTTCAGGTCTCCTAATGTGACATTCAGCCACCTAGCATCATTGTTTTTTGTTTGCTCTGAGGATATATCAACTGTCCATGTTGTAGTAGGATGTCCCAATCTTTACAAACTGCACATAGAGGGGCCTATAAAGAATTTTCCTGAACACCACCAAATTTCTTCCAAGCTAGCCAAGCTAAAGTTGCAAGGTTCTGAACTTCTTGTAGATCCAATGCCAACATTAGAGAAGCTACCCAATTTAAGGTTGCTTGAGTTAGAACTTGATTCATTCATGGGAAAGCAACTAGTTTGTTCTAGCAAAGGTTTCCCTCAGCTTAAGTCTCTTCTTATCTATGACTTGCCCAATCTTGAAGAATGGAAGTTGGATAAAGGAGCCATGCCTAGTCTTAGCAAACTTGAGATTTCAAATTGCACTAAGCTTGACAAGGTTCCAGATGGACTCAGGTTTATCACCACTCTTCAGGATTTTGAGATCAGATCAATGTTTGCAGCATTCAGAACAAGACTTGAAAAAGGAGGAGAGGATCATTACAAAGTCCAACATGTGCCATCCATGGTGTTTTCTTATTGTGACTATTAGATTACATGCTCCTTGCTAAATGAAATTTCACATTACAATTATATATATATATTTTTTTCATGTTTCTGTTTATGTAAGGTGCTATGAGTCCGAGATAGTGTCTGAATTAATTAGTTCGTCCATATACAATAATTTTCTTCTAAACTAAGAGGAATTCAATAACGTAGAATTGTAAGAACAAATAAAAGGTACATAATGTGCTGATATTTCAAGAGAATATGATGTCTTTTTTGAATAGATCTAAAAGTTTTCTGAGCCAGGGTATCAGATTAGTTTGAAAAAACCATAGTTATAAAATTATGATCCTATATTATGTGAGTTATATCTAAGAGACTCAAACTTAAATTCTTCGTATCCACTCCAATTATAACAAATTTAAAATTAAAAACTACAACAAAAGAAAGAAGCAAAAGAAGTTAAACAACAGGTCTACCACCCAAGGATGGGAGCCTACACCTCATTAAAAAACACCGTACAGTACCAAAACTTTTGCTCGTCTATTTACATAGTTGTAAGAGTTTGGCTGGAATTTTATCCAAGTCCAAAAAGACTTATATCAGTAAAGTTAATTTAATATTAAATTATTAATTAGTAGTAATTTTTTAAATAAATATAATTTTATCATATTGACTCAAGTGCAGGTTATGATTTTGATAAATCTTTCAGTATATATTGTTTACTTGATTTTAATATACTAATGCTGGAATCTACTTGATTTTATAAATTGAATTCATTTAAAGGGTGTTTGAATCGAAGTAATTTATGTTTGATTTTTTAAAAGTAACTTTATAGTAAAATTTAACAATTTTTTTAATTCTATGCAAAAATTACAATTATTATGTTAAATAGGACTTGAATTTAAAAATAAAATCAATTATGATATAAAATTATTAAAAATATTAGCATGATTTTCAAATCACATTTCCATCTTCATACATTATTTTAGAATCTTTTCTTGCTTGTCAAAACATACTCTTAATCTTTTAATAACATTTTTCCCACATCATTAATTTGCTTAGGTGCCACATTTACTTTTATTCACTATCTATGTTTGGTCAAATAATTTAATAGATAATAATATTAATTATAAACTCATCTTTTAAAAGTGGTAGAAAAGATAATTTTAGAATATTTTTGTCTCTCCTCTACACAACCCATGGGCGATTAGATCCAAGTACAAAGGGGTAACCTAGACTCACCCAACAATAACTTACTTGCATCCAAATTCATTAAATAATTGAACCACACGCTGACCAAGCGTGCCCTGTTCACCACCCTATTAGAGTAGCCATTGACTTAAGCATCAAGGATTTTGTAAGTATTAGAGGGGAAAATTATCCATGCTTATGGGTATTGGGAGCATGGACAGATATACATTAAGATAAATATATCTAAGACTATCCTCTAAATAAAATTAAGTAATTATCCTTATTTATTTAACAAAAAGTGTGATGTGTTTGAAATAAATATCATATTATGAATATTATTGTGGTAGGTAAAATTACTCTTTTTATCTTTTAATTTTAAAGTAAAATTTACTTTTATTTTTTAATTTATTTTTTTATTTTAATTTTTTAACTTTTAAAAAAATTTTAAATAGGTCTTTTTTTTTTGTTAAAGACTAATTTTATTTAAAAAATTTGTCATTTTTTATTACGTATACTATATATTATTGTTTTCTTTTTTCTTCCTTTCATCATTATTTTATTATATTCAAAACTTCATATTCTTGCTATTAATATAACTACCCAACTCCAAATCTCAAATCATAAACTTTATAAATATTAATTTTTCATCTTCGACAATTTATGCTTATTTTTATATTGTGTTTTAAGCTTCTGAAATATAGTATTTTTGTTAATGAAGGCTTGGAAAGTTATAGTAGCATGAAAATTGGAAATATGTGTTTATATTTAACGGAGATGAAAAATAGGTATTAAAAAATTAGGTTATTTATAATTTGGAAGATATGAGTGTTTGGTGTTAATGATAAGAAGATAAAAATGAAAGGAAGAAGGAAGAAAAAAAGGTGTCATAGACAAAATCAGATATCTAAAGAAAAAAATGATGAACAATAATACACGGTATACATGATGCAAAATAATTAAAAAAATTAACAAAATTAAAATTTTTAATAAAAAAAAAGGGACTTATTTAGAACATTTTTAAAAGTTAGAAGATGAAAGCATATTTTATCTTAAAATTAAAATTAAGAGATAAAAATAATAATTTTGCTATTGTTGTAAGTTTAAGTGTTAGTTTTTATTTTTCATTTATGTTACTTTACAATATTAATTAAAACTGATTTTAATATTAATTTTTGAAATATTTTTAATGCATCATAATCTAACAAAAATTTAATTTGAAATAAAAATCATTCTCATTATATATGTAATAAATAGATATAGGTGTATTCAATTTTCACACATGTCTTGATGATGTTGCCAAGTGAAGAAGTATGAAATATCTAGTACGTGAAGATCCCAATATACGAAAATTGGGACATTTGTAAGTCTGCAAAGAGGAAGGAATGTAAGACGATTAAACTGCAAAAGTGCAATCTGACACAACAGTCGACGCGTATGCAGCATGTCGCTGATCGAATCACAGGAGGAATCAATATTTCTTTTTATTAAAATATAATTAAAAAACTCATAATCAAATGTAATTTTATTAAAAACTTACCATTTTTAATTATATATCTTTTTTATTATCGGATAAATGTTTTTATTATATATTTTATCCCGTGTCCTTTAATAAGCCTCTATCCTACTTTAGTTTTCATCAAATTTTTTTTAAATAATATAATTTTTAAACTTATTATTTACTTATAATTATAAATATATATATATATATAAAAAAATAATTTTTTTATACTAGTACAAGTTTAAAAACTTTTCAATTTAAATTTTTTATTTAATTTAAATCTAATGACTGTAAATCTTACAAGTGAATTTTGATGTCCGATAATCTAAAACTTTAAGTCATTGGTTATGATACAACACTTAATATATATTACTTATTTTTCCTATTATTCTTCAATATAAAATCTCTTTATTTATATTTGACTTTCAATACTTAATTAATTATCATTAACTGTTTTGTGTGTATATAGTTTCAATTACTATGATCAATAACTAAAAGGTATTGTTCATGAAAACAACTTGAATGAAATGTTTCCAAGTGTTATTATTTTTTTTTCACACCCTAATTTTAAAAGCTTTACAAAAAAAGGAATATGATTTTATAAATTGTCGTATTTTGATGGAAGAACAAACCACAAGTGTCTAAAGAGAACTTTATGCAAGTCTTTTTCATTTTGTAAACTCATCATATCATTCTTGGTTTTCTTCACCAGCAAACAATAAAAACAGTAACTTCCTTTTTTGCTTATACGATGTTCTTTCCAAGAAATGAAAGGCAAAGTTAGATTCATTAAGGAGTAAATTCATTCTAATCGTTTAAATCGCATGGACTACTGTCACTTAATTTCTAAGCTTATAAAATTTTAATTTTATTTACTCTCACTGCAAAATTGCATTTATTTTATTTCTTTATTACAAAATAACAGAAAAAATAAAATAAAAAATATTAAAATGAATTTTGTTAAAACTAAAAATCATGTGATTATTTTGGAGAGGGATATAAGATACAACCAATTAAAGCACCGCCTTCTGGAGTCACTGTTGTGGGGGCAATTTACTCCACCATGAAAGTCTCTTAAATGCACTAAAGGACCATTAACTACACCAAAAATAGTAATACCTGTAACTTGCCAATTCAACATTCATAACTTGGAAACCTAGTATAATCCCAGATCCACCATTCACCCCTCTCTCCAAGAAACCAAATTCAGCTCTTCACAGCGAGAGATTTGTCACAAACAATAATGTGATTCATTATCACCAATACAAGATGCAGAAATGACGAATCATCATGCACCATTTACAACTTCGTAGTTAATTAATTTCCTACATTAGAAAATATTCAAAATAACATAACGAATCAAGTATCTACGAACAACTAGAAAAGAAAAAGAAACAATATACACCTGATGATGATAATTAAAATACTTTATATTAATTGACATTTAACGAAAATAAAATTCATATATATACCATAGAATAGTGAAATGTGACTAGCTAAGAGCTTGCTTTGATCTTCGTGGAAGATTGGGCGTGCGCAGCACAAAGACTGAAGCTAGATCGTGTGGCACTTGGAAGAACCCTTGATGGGATTGTGGGTCTAAATTGTTTCTTCGGGGAATTCGTGGTTTCTTGGGAGGTGGAGGACAAACCAATGGGGTTCTCAATGTTTGAGAGGGTGATGTGGGTGTGTGGCACTCTTCAACATCCTCGTTTAGCATCTCCTTTGTTGTTTCTAGATCGGTTAGTTCAGTAACGTGTTTGAAGGTCCTAATCGTTGGAACAACGGTTCGTATGGGCGTAATTGGCCTAAATTCTTCTAAGATTTCGAGACCCATTTGCTACTGTTACACAATTCACAGAATTGAATTCACTTTGGCTTGAAATACTAGCACAATTAGGTAAATGGCTAGCTTTTTTTGTTGTCGAGAGAGAGAAGGCGTGGAGAGAGAAATTGAGAAGGTGATGATGAGAGGTGCTGAAAGAGAGACAGATATATGAGAGAGACATGGTGGACGGTGGGTATGTTGTGTGGGGCACACATGGAATGATAAATGACCAAAAATCGTAGCAACAGGAGAGGGAGAGTGAAGAATTGAAAGAGTTAAATTTGCCAAAGGGAATAAAAGTGACAAAACTGAGATAAAGGAAAAAGGTGAAAGGTATACAATTAGCAACAACAAGGCGTGTTGGGTTTGTAACTTTGTATATGCGTGCCCATGTTAAATTACGGTTTTGTCAAATTAAGATTTTATCTTCAATTTAATTTATTACAAACAATTAATAATACAATAAAAATTTATTAAAAATTAAAGTATTATAGTTATAATTTCATATTTTAAATTCAATGAATTGTGTTCATTATTTGTAAATTTGAATTAAAAAATGTTAGCCAAAAAAAGTATGGTCTTAGCTCCGATCTTAATATTATAGAAAAGGTAAAAAGGGGATGGAGATGAAGCACAACCTTGATCTGACAGAAAGTCACATGATGGCTTAGCTGCTGTTCATG